GGCCTTCGCCCTTTCAGGGCTTGGGCCCTAATTATGCGACAAAGATGCGATGCATTCTCAGCACCACAAGAGGCACTATACCATCCATTTTTAAAAACTGTTCTTTTTCTCTTCTGCAATTAGTTTTCTCTTTGAGGTCGATTACAGTAGTTTAGCAAGTTGGTAAAAGTTAAATTGCCAACATTTAAACTATCTGAATAATAACATCAGGCTTAATGGAAGCATAGATGTTTGAAAACAAAGGTGGGATCACATTAGCCAAATTTCTTAAAACGACCTTTCCTAATAAAAAACAGTTTATGTAAAACCTGATTAAAACAACAATTTTTTCCCAATTTCCTGATTCGGTTTGGTATGTGAACACTTTAATTGATTTGCATTTAGACTCTTGAAACCTTTCGATGGTTATCAGCATATGATGTACACGTACACCTACATGTTGTAGATCCACAATTCCAGATCTGCTGATGACTTTGTTTTGAAGGTGAGTGTATTTTTCAGCTGGCAGTCTCAAATGTAGTGAGCTATATTCAGCACTCTGCCGCCATTTCTTTATAGATCTAGTGTAAGCAAAACCAGAGCCAGGCCAAGAGAAGAATTTGTTTGGCTGTGCATTCCCAGGATCCTTCACAGGAGCTGCTGCAGTCAGCTTTGTTCAAAATTAATTATTCTCCTCTCCACAGACTGGCTAGGCATCGGTGATTCATGTTACTGAATCAAAACAGTTCACCGCAAAACACTGTCTTTACAGATGCTCTCTTTATTGTCACAAGATCATTTTAACTTAAATCTTGAATTGTATCATGTGCATTTATTTATTTGCCAATTAGTCGTGTAATCAGGGTAGGGTATCTGCAGGATTTTTAAAGCCAATAACAATACATAAACTAATAATAATATTAATAAAATCCATATGAGAGGGGTAGGGTGGTCTATGGGTAACAACCAAAACTGGAAAATGACCACGATTCAAACTTTACGTTATGATTGTAAAATGATAAACCTCATATTTCATATTTAAACCATTTTTTTAAGGAAAGGGATGAGTCAAACCTAACAATAATATTATAATTTTAAAGATTTAAAAATAATATAATATTTGAAGACTTTTAAAATCCCGTGTGGATTCTGTGTAAGTATTAAGATTGTTGCAAAATAACCTACTTCAGCGCGAAACTCCAGCCAATTATTATTTTTTTCCTTCCACTTGAAGATGTAGTCCTGATGAGTAAACTCTATGGTTGCTGCATATCGATTTGCCTATTTTAGCCAACATTTTCTTAAACAGGATAAATGGTAGAAAGACAGAATAAAAACAAACAGAAAAGGTGGAGAAATGTGCCGTTACCTGGCACCTCCACTCCATACACCACCACATCTTTCATGTCCAGCAGACGGCTCAGAGTTCCCTCCACTTCGGTGGTGGACACGTTCTCTCCTTTCCAGCGGTACGTGTCTCCTGTGCGGTCTTTGAAATACATGTAGCCATAGTCGTCCATCTCCAGCACGTCACCTGAGAGAGGAGACAAAAACGACTTCTATTATCTAGCTGAGAGAGTATGCAAGGAAGAGTGCCGTTGTGTTTCAAAATACAATACCTGTCAGATATGCACTGTCTCCCTTTTTGAAGACATCGTGGGCAACCTTCTTATTAGTGGCTGACTGATTGACGTAGCCGTCGAATCGTCTGAGGGGGTCGTTCTGAATGATTCGGCCAACCAACTGACCAGGTTCTCCTGAGAAACACAGTAAGGAAATGGATGTTACATTATATTTTTGCATTTTCTGTAGTGGTCAACTGATATAGATAGATAGATGGTTTTATTTAATGCCATGTCAGCATCTTAGGCTATTTTCATGGCAAAAATTAAATGACAAAAATACAAATATCATCTAAATACAAAACCAAGCAAACCTACACAAGAAGTCATATTATATATATATATATATATATATATATATATATATATATATACAGAATTTAAGTGCAAATAATTCTTAAATATATACATGCATGCATAGGTATTTATATATACAAAATAATTATATACAGCACAAACAAATATATTATGTAAACACAGACTTATTTTGGATGCGATTAATCGCAATTAATATTTGCACAGTCCTAATATATATATATATATATATATATATATATATATTTTTTTTTTTTTATTAACACATGATATAAAATCCAAAACCTTTTCAGGCATAATCTTACTAAATAGTCGTTAAGTTCAACTGCTCATTAACGCAAATATCTAATCAGCCAATCACATGGCAGCAACTCACTAGACATGATCAAGACGATCTGCTGAAGTTCAAACTGAGCATCAGAATGGGGAAGAAAGGAGATTTAAGTGACTTTGAATGTGGCATGATTGTTGGTACCAGACGGCTGGTCTGAGTATTTCAGACACTGGTGATCTGGTGGGATTTTCCCACACAACCATCTCTAGGATTTACAGAAAATGGCCCGAAAAAGAGAAAATATACAGTTTGAGCGGCAGTTCTGTGCCTTCTTGATGCCGGAGTTTAGAGGAGAATAGCCAGACTGGATCGAGCTGATAGAAAGACAAGGGTATCTCAACTTTCCACTCATTTCAACTGAAGTCTGCAGAAGAGCATCTCTAAACGCACAACACATCAAACACTGAAGCAGAGATGAGCTACAGCAGCAGAAGACACACCGGTGGCACTCCAGTCAGCTGAGAAGAGCAAACGGAGGCTACAATTCACGCGGACTCACCAAAATTGAACAATAGAAGATTGGAAAACCGTTGCCTAGTCTGATAATTCTCGATTTCTGCTACAACATTTAGATGGCCGGGTCAGAAATTGGGCGTAAACAACATGGATGGAAGCATGGATCCATCCTGCCTGGTATCAACGGTTCATTGATGGTGTATTGATGTTAGGGATATTTCTTTGCACACTTTGGGCCCTTTAGTTCCAATTGAGAATCATTTAAACGCCACAGCCTACCTGAGTATAGTTGCTGACCAGGTCTATACTTTTGTGACCACAGTGTGTCATCTTCTGATGGCTACTTTCAGCAGGATAACATGCCATGTCACAAAGTTCAAATCATCTCAAACTGGTCTCTTGAACATGACGATGAGTTCACTAAACTCCAATGACCTTCACAGTCACCAGATCTCAATCCAATAGAGCAGCTTTGTGATGTGCTGGAACAGGAGATTCGTATCATGGATGTGCATCCAACAAATCTGCAGGGACTGAGTGATGCTATGTCAATCTGGACCAAAATATTTGAGCAATGTTTCCAGCACCAAGTTAAATCTAATCCATGAAGAATTAAGGCAGTTCTGAAGGCAAAAAGGGATCGAACCCCGGCACTAGCAAGTTGTAAATATCAGAATTGGCCATAAAAAAAAAAATCCATATCATCAACCGGTAACTTTCTGTCTGCTCCCCTGTGTACGAAGAATGTGAGTGAGTACTGTACCTGGACCACATGGGATACAGACTCCATCGGGTCCTCTGATAAGCTCCATGGTCTCCTCGTCCACTTTGACTAAGCGGATGGGGTAGACGTAGGGAAGGATCCGACTATTGAATCCACAGGCCCCCGCCTGCAGTCAAAACATCATATGTTTATTACAATCACCTCACCCTCTTCAAAACTAAATACTGTGTCGAGCAGAATAAACAGCTAGGTGCATTTTCTATCAGCACCATAAATGGCCTATAACCAGTTGTGCTTGATTAATAAACACATTGTAGATGGCCTTGCACAATATATGGTAATACACAATGCTAATTGCTGCAACCCTTAAAACCCTATATATCCTTTTCCGCATGCATTATCCACTATTGTGTAGGTTTGCAAGTGTGTGTGCAACTCATAAAGGCTGTTTACAGACACTTAGACTAAGGTGTGTTTGACAGACCTTGTTGTCGAAGTTGCCCAGGCTACAGTTGCACTCGGTGGCGCCGTAGAACTCTGCAATCTGTGGTATGTTGAAGCGGTTGGTGAACTCCTCCCAGATGGACTGGCGAAGGCCGTTTCCGAGGGCCATGCGGACCATATGTTGGCGCTCAAAGTCCTTCTTTGGCTGGTTCAGCAAATAGCGGCAGATCTCGCCAATGTACTGTACGATCTGAGACCAAAAATTATACTCCATAAAACTACATTTCCATGCAACACAACAACAATTTGCAATCCCACAGCTATAACATTAAAGCTCACAGATATCAGATTTTGAGGTCAATATGACTTTTAATGTTTAAAGAAGTTTCTTCTGCTCGTCTAGGCTGCATTTGTTTGATAAAAAAAACTGTTTTATTAATATTGTGAACAAATGTTATTTTTAAAATAGCTGTTTTCTATTGTAATATGTTAAAATGTAATTTATTCCTGTGATCAAAGCTGAATTTGTCACATGATCCTCCAGAAATCATTCTAATATGATGATTTAATGCTCAAGTAACAATTCTTTTTTTTATTTCGCTTTTTATTGAACATGAACATCAGTCAAAAACATCAGTGAACATCAGTGTTAACAGTGACATTTTAGTTCTTTTTTTTTCACCCCTTTATCCCAGCTTAATGCACCCCCCTCCCAGAACTCAAGTAACAATTCTGATTATCATCAGTGTTGAAAACTGACTTGGTCCTTCATAATTTTGTGGAAATTGTGATACATTGATTCATCACAGGATTCTTTGATAAACATAATATTCATAAACAGCATTTATTCAAAGTCTAAATCAATCGTAGCATAAATATATTTACGGTCACTTTTGATCAACGTAATACATCTTTGCTGTAAAAACTACAGTATAGGCAAATTATTTTCTTGAAGGTATTCCATAATAATCCATTTATTCCATTACTCACCGTGCAGTTGTATTTGATACAGTCATCCCAGAACTTTGATGCACTGAACTTCTTCCTGATCACTACAGTCATTCCATGGATCAGGCACTGGCCAACTCCCACTATGTTTCCTGCCACAGAAAACAACTCTGACCTCAGAACAAACCTATTGATTCCTTCCAGATTAAATACTCACAAATAAGTCGGTTAAACCAATAAAATTCAAACAAACCAAGTTATTTTCTCAATACAGCATTGGACTCAAAGATCTTATTTAGACATCCATCAAAACAAGCCCTAAAACTCACAGGAAGTAGCCTGAACCAGACTGTGACAGGAAGTGTCAGTGATGTACCTGCAGAGTGGTAAAGTGGTAAGCAGTCATAAAGCACATCCTCAGACTTCATTCTGAAACCATAGTACACCAAGGCAGCCATGCGGTAATACCTGAGGAAAGAAAGAATGCAGGAAAAACAGGGAGATTGATTCATTGAGAGAGAGAGAAAAAAAAGAGAAAGCAAGGAACGAGAGACTGAGAAATTAAGAAAATGAACACTGTTATACACTTACCGGCTATGTACAACGATAGCAGCTTTTGGCATCCCAGTGGTTCCTGACGTGTAAATGTAAAAAAGGCGATCTAGAAGCAAAGAAGAAAAAACTATTTAACATCTAGTAGTTGGTAATGTGATTTATGGGCCAGATTTATTAAGAGCTTGTGCCAGTCACTAGTCAATTACTATGAAATATTAGTCAAATCGACTAATGCACAAGTCAATTTACTGGTATTTGCACCATGTTTTACCACCCGAAAATAGCATGCCTTAACCTATTTTGCACTTGAAATGAAGGCATCGGTCATTCTTTCATTTGTGAACTCAGAACTTTCCACTGCACTTTATGGGAATGTGGTAATTTGGCCTGTTTTGTAAATCTAAATGTGTCTTTTTAACATCCTAAAAGGCCTGTTTATGTCAAATGCAACAAAACAAAAATAATGGAAATATTTAGACTGAGTTCAATGGCATAAGTTGTTATTTCACTGGTTTTGGCCATCCTTCTGTTAAACTGTCACAAATGAATTAGGTTGAATAGCTATTAGCTGTTAAATTTAACTGCACAATTAGATAATACCAATTTAGCTCAACCAATTACCAAGCAATGCTTCATTTTGTTCAGTCTGTGGTGTAAAAAAAGTGGCATTAGCAATTAAAGAAAAAACACTTCAGCAAAACATGGTCAGATCAGGGAGTCTGAATAATATTTGGTCCCAAATTTCAATACATTTTAGTGGTATGAAGATTTTTTGGGTATAATATGTCACAGTTTACTTTATTTTGCTATTCTCAGTTACATAAATTAACTATAGTGTCCTGCACCCACTAGTGAAAAAATATATATATCTGGTGTCTGAAACGGTCATGTGTGGGGATCATTCAGCATACGGGGAATAAAATCTTTGAACTAAAAAACAGGGTGGGTCTGTTCAAATGGACAGGAGTTCGTAGGCCTTAAATGGTGGCAAGTCTGTGTTCGATTATCTTGCCTGTGAAGCTGCGATCTGGTTGTCTGGGCTGGTTTGTAGGTGTCGCCTCCAGCAGCGGCTCTAGATGCTCCGTCCCTTCAGGAACGCTCTTTGGGTCCCATTCTCCAGAGCAGAACAGCTTAACAGTCTTTCCCATGGAGCTGTGCACCTCACACATCGCTGAAACATTTAAAGAGCGAGAGAAATACGTGGATACATCACAGAAACAAAAAATGCAACAAAACCAGCCTAGAAAGTTCTTCAGAGAAACCACAGGACAAGCAAACGCGTGACAATGTGAAATCGATAAGTAACGAAGCTGACTCAACATGGCATGCTTTATGAGTCAGTATCCAATTACTTAAGAGACAATTAGGAAACTGGATGTCATTAGGGTTTTGCTGCCTTTCGTAACCTCGGGTACAAATACTCTTTGGTGCAATGACATTCTTTCACAATGAGTTACACGTAGTGACCTCTGCCCAAGATAAATCTTTACTCTATGCTACTTATTCATTCAGTTCAAATGCTAATCTTTGTCCAAGTGCCACTTCCTTATTTGCTTCTTGTGGTGTGTCACTTCCAATTGCAACACTTCTTAACCGCTGCCTCAACCGATACTATATTTATTGAGGCAAATCATGCTTAACGTCAATATGAAATCAGCTGACACTATTGACATTCATCTACACATTCTTAGTATGTTATTGTGCAAGATGAACCAGTGCACCTCATAAAAGAAATTTTAAAAAATACAAAAGACATTTTTTTTTTATTTAGACAAAATGTACTAAATTTGTCCACTTCCAAAATGTTGATTGATGTCACCATTCACCAACCCAATTTTTTTTTTCCAAAAGTACCTGACTCCATTTTGGTATGTAATGAACACAATCAAATTAATTCCAGATGGCTAAAAGAAATATCCTACGGTGACCGAGAGAGAGCTTAACGAGCTGCAAATGAAGAAAACATTTTAATCAGTTGCTGCAAATCCTTACAACACAACCAAATACAGAAACGCACTGCAAATACTCAACAAACATACGATCAAGCTTTTATTTGATTGAGTTGTGAGTATTTGCAGCGTGTTCCTGTATTTGGTTGCGTTGTGAATATTTGTATGTTGAATTTGTGGTTATTTCGAAGTGCTCTAAACTGGTCTTCGGGAGTTTAATACGTGTTCCGAATGACTGGTTCGAAACAAATGATTCGCTGAGGTTTCACCGCTTCACAAAGTGAATTCATTAATGTCAAAACAAACTGCCTCCGTAACAGCCAAATGCAGTTAGCTACATTTTGTTCGCAGCAGCATGGATATGTAACTACTTTATCAAATGCGTAGCTTGACTGTGGTTTAACCGCTATAAATTAGGAGTAGTTTCCTCATCTCTAATAACGATCAAACCACTTCTCACCATCTGTTAGCTCACTGCCGAACACCACCGCTTTGGCGCTGGAGATGTTGACGCAGTGAACCAGGGCCTCCAGTCTAAGGTTGAAGTTGATGAGCGCCGCCTCCACTCCGATCTTCGCCATGCCCAGCCAGAGCCCGACGTACTGAGAGCGGTTCTCCATGAACAGAGCCACCACATCGCCTTCCTTGAAGCCCCTCTGGAGAAGACAGTTAGCCACGCGGTTGGAGTAATCGTCAAGCTCCTTGAAGCTCCATTTCTCGCCCGTTCCTTCGAAAATCAGAGCCGTCTTGTCACCGTATTTCTTGAGCGACTTGGCAAAAAGTTTGGGAATGGTGTTGCGCTCACGTAGGTGCTTTTTGACATTCAGCTTTACTCTCAGCAACACACTGGCTGCACTGTAAAAGAACACAAAAGAATTGATGGTATTATTCTGGAGATTTTGTAAAACATCTACTTTGGGTTTTGGGTGAACTCTTCATTTAAAATAGATACACTACTTTAAATGTTCGAAATGATTAGGATTTGTTTATGTTTTTGAAAGCCGTCTCTTCGGCTCACCAATGATACATTTATTTTAATAAAAAATAATAATAATAAAAACAGTAAAATAGTAATATTGTGAAATAATATTAACCGTTTTCTATGTGAAACTATAATTTATTCCTGCGATCAAAACTGAATTTTCAGCATAATTACTCCAGTCTTCAGTGTCACATGATCCTTCAGAAATCACTCTTATATGATGATTTAATGGTCAAGAAACATTTCTGATTATTATCAATGTTAAAATCAGTTGTGCTGCTTCATATTTTTGTGGAAACTGTGATACATATTTTGTTCTTTTGATTAATAGAAAGATGGAAAGAACTGCATTTATTTGAAAACAAAATCTTTTGTAACTTTAAAATGTCTTTACTGTCACTTCAATGCATCTTTGCTGAATAAAAGTATTCATTTAAAGAGCACCTATCATGGATTTTTGAAAATGACTGTTCATGTAGTGTGGAATATATCTCTAACGGAATGAAAACATCCTGCAAAGATTTATATCTGAAAGTGCACCGTATATAAAGTTATTGTCTTTCAAAAGTGAGAGTCGACTCTGAGTCTATGAAATGAATTGTTTTTGAAACGAGTCATTAGCTGTTTCGTCGTGACGTAGAGAGGTCATTGGCATCATGTCGAGAAGACGCTGTGTTCTACATTGCAAAGACAGTTCAGCCACTTGTTTCCATTGCCCAAGGACGAGCATGTGAAGAATCAGTGGTCAGAGTTCATATTTGCAACGATACCACAACAGTATAGCCCGAACCTTGTTTTTATCATTTTAATGACGAATCATTCGCAAGCCGGTTGTTCCCGAAGGAGGGCTCAGTATCCAGTGTATATGGATCAGGTTCGTCCTTCTCCGAATCACAATCTGTAAGTATTATTAATAATGTTTGCTGTTATGTTTTCTGTAGCATGCACAATAGTTATATTGTGTTGTGCGTGTTGTGTACACTCGGCGCAGCTTCTAAGCGGGGTAAAGTTAGTTTTGTTTTTGATATTCACCAGACATTCATTGAAAAATGGCAATTACCTCCTAAACGACTTGGCCAAATATGACTTCGCTCTATATAATAAGCACTGCCCCTCAAAAGCCGCCGCAATGTGAGTTTTGCCAGGAAAGCTCACTCTTGACGGAGACGCGAGTAAGGGACCGTGTGGAAAGTGCTCTTTTTCTGACACGTTTGTTCAAACACTATTTACAATTTTCAACACTTGACAAGCTATAATCCTGGTTATGGGCGTTCCGTTGCCGACAGTCTCTGCCTACGGTTTACCAATAACAAGGGTCATTTGACCAATCGCCGCAGATTCGCACCACTCAAAGGAGGTGTTTGGGAAAATGAATCGTCGAACGAATCATTTGGGAGTCGTTGAGCAAATCAGTTAAAAATAAATGCATATTATAAGACAAATAAAGTGTTTTTATCCTTGTATGCACGTTAAACTGTTTTTGGGAACTCCCAAAACAAAAATAGGAACATTTCAAATGCTATGATAGGGGCTCTTTAAAATATATATATATAGTACTTACCAACAACTTTTGAATGGTTTGAAACATTTGAATGGTAGTGAATCATGGTCATGCACATCACAACGGTTTTAAACATCTAATAATCAGAAATGTTTCTTGACCATCAAATCAGACAATCAAATAAATGCAGCCTTGGTGAGCAGAAGAGACTTCTTTCAAAAACATTAAATATTATTATAATTATTCCAAACTTTTGACCGGTACATTTTGTACATTTAATGACTATAATGATCTGTTTAATTACAATCAAAGGGATACTCCATCTTTTTTCATATAAACTATGTTATTCCCTTAACTAAGACGAGTTGATACATACCTCTGTCGTCTCAGTACGTGCACTCAATCGCTCTGGCGTGCGAGACACTTTGATAGCACGACTCTCACACTTAGCCAAGTTCATTCATTGAGTGCACGCACTGAGATGAGAGAGGTATGTATCAACTCGACTTAGTTAAGGGAATAACATAGTTTAATGGAGTAAAAAACAATGGAGTATCCCTTTAAGTGACAAATAACAAATATGTAAGTGGCAGGAAGTAGTTTGTGTGCTCACACAGACAAGTCACATTGCTAAAAGCAGTGATCCCTGTCCCATAAGAGTTCTTACATCCATTAACAGCTACCCTAAAAGCCTCCATCCTTCAATCCAGGCACTTAAAGAGTAATCTGTGCTGTATGAAAAGATAAACCCACACCTCCAGGACCTGAAGTGGAACTGAACTCCATAAGCCCCTGCACTTGCTACAACCAGAGGCAAAACTGTGATTGTTAGCAGAGGTTTTGCTTTGTTTGCTATTCAATAACACTTCAGATTATTCAATTCACATCTCCAAATTTTGAAAAGCAAAATCAGGAAAAACAGGGTGAACCAGCCAGGTAACACAAAAAAACCCACTTCAACCACTTGTTCCTCTTAACAAACCCATAGCTCGTAATACAGGAATGTGTGGTTATATTTAATGAGGAACTTCTTTAAGGGTGGATTCACACTTGTAGTTCGGTTTGCTTGATTCGTTTTGATTTTGATGACTTTGAAAAAGTGGAAAAGTACATAAAAAATAAAAAAAGCACGCAACACCAGATATTATGACATAAACTTACTGCAAATCACGATATATGGTCTTTGAAAACACATGAATGGACTTCCATCCTCCAGAACCAAGATAGAAAATGAGAATGGATGGTAGGACCTGGAACCAGGACAGGCCGGCGAACAGCCGGAGAACGAAGAGGAGAGCCGTGGAGCACGCCAACCGCAACATCCTGACACGCACACAGCACCACAGTCATTTACACATTTCAACATCATTTATCAACAGCTCATTATTGCATTAACATTTTATTGTGCCTTTTAAAAAAAGACCTTGATAAAAGTTATAACAATCATTATAAACCTGATAATTACAATGGTTGATATGCAAAACCCTTGCCTTTAATCGACAGATTCTGAGATTAACAAGATACGTTGTCTATATCAAGACAAGATAGAAAACAGATCTTTGACCTTATAAATGTATGTTAAAGGTATACCAGTCCAGAGTCCTAGTATTATCTTCCTCAAGAAGTCAGTAACTTAAGATTTCCAGATGTTTTTGTTTGGACAGTAAATCAAACATTTGTATTCAAATATTTATTTAAATGCTGCTGTTCATCACACATTTGATATATTATATGTGTATGAAGGATATTATTACATATAATGATGGAGGATAACCGGACTGTTTTTATGTTTCCATTTTCTGATGTGTAACGAAGATGGACACAAACAAATGTGATAAAAAAAAGGTAATTCATTACAATGCTCCTTAACATTAAGTGTATTGACGTGTTTCTAGGCCTTCTTGTCCACTAAAACACCTGTAAAGTAACTAGGGTGGATTGAATGTCAGGCAACAGAGCTATTTGATCTGTACGATCCTTTCCTACAGCTCATCTGAATGCAGCAGAAGCTTGACCTGCTGAATGACCAGTCACATCACATGTCCTCTAAGGCCAGCTATATAGGGGACACCGGGGCTAGTTGTCACATGGGAAAGCTGCCACAACGGCTTTAGTAAGGTTTTGAATCCAAAGAACAATTACACAAATGAATGTGCAGTGGTATTTTTTTTAGCAGTGGTGTTGTTTCTTGCTTTTAAACATTTACTTCAAAACAGGAAATAAATTGGAGTTGTTTTTATCTATTATTTTAATCTACTGACAGCCTAAAATGTAATTTATAACTTAAAAACTAAGACAAAATGACCATATAATTTTGGCTATGCACAATACAACCACTCTCAGGTGGGAATATAAACTATATAATGAATTTTGATTTGATTATTTATGAATTATTTATTGACTTATAATTATGCAGGTAGCTTAATAATTATTCAATGTATTAATTTATCGATTTCTGTTGACCAAAAGTTTGTAATCCTGCCCATTTTTACAGCTTCATGAATTGTTTTTTTTGTGTGTGTTTCATATAGGTTTTAATGTTCAAATTTGCAGAAAAATACATTAAATGGTTTCCATTGTGACAACGAACTTACCCTAGTGTGACTTAAAAACAAGCCACGTTGTAGGTAAACACGTGTTAAAAACTATATAACAGTGGAAATGAATAAAAAGTAAAATCCTTTGCATTCAAGAATTCTATACAGAAACGGATTTAAAACCTACTCTGGGAAATGTTCACTGGAGTAAAAATGTGACAACTAGCCCCGGTGTGGTTCACCTATAGATAATACGCCATTTCATTCACACATTCTCATTCGAATGACTGACAGAAGTGATGTTAACACATCGTCAAATCACCACCTCCATCACAATACGTTTTCGATACAGCAGGGAAATCCAACAAAACGCGGCTGTCTGTCTATCGTAAAGGAAGGAAGGATGCTGGGGAGAACCCAGCCGCCCCGCATGGTAACGGCTGCTTGGTGCTGTGACCTCGTGTTGTTGTAGCAAGACAACACGATAGACGTGCTGTAAGTGCGGATGGCTATTTAAGTAATGCAGAAGAGCCATCATCATAATCATTACCGCAGAGCACTAATTCGATGCTCCACCCGGAAACCTGAGCGAGCACATTGGATTGTACAGCACTATACTGAGTCATTCCACGATTCGGCTCTTTCGAACAGTTCATTTCAAAGATTCAGCGGTTCTCTTACGCCATGATCACAAGTTCGCGGTATTATCCTTTTGCTGATTAGAACGCAAATATAACTTGCATTACGACAAACAAAACTAAAATTGGCATCTCCCAGTAATGTTTTAGCGTGTACATTCAATTTATTATAGACAACTTTCAAATGTGTGTTGATAAAAAACTGGTATTTTGTGCTCATTCTGAATCGGACAAAAGAGTGAGTCTGTGAGTTGTTGATTCCAGAACCGCGAAAGAACAACTCAGTCCGTTTTAGTGATTCGGTTGAAAAGAACGAGTCGTTGGAGAATCGAACATCACTACAGCACTGCAGCACACGGAGCTTCACTCTACTGATACTGTTTCAATCACAAGATACATTATAAGGATTTCACACAGTCAGGCTATACATTATAGCATGTTTCTATACAACCAGTGTATACCGTAGTAGGCCTAACGTTATACCAGAAACGGGTACACTGCGTTATTTGATGTGCGTGTTTTATATATATATTTTTTAAAGCCCAGTAGTGCGGCTATCTGGCATCCTATATCCCTTTATCTGGCTCATCAGCAATACACTGCTACATATGACACCGCATCCATCAGCAAACATGAACAGGACACAATGTACGCTGTTGTCATTGTAAAAATAGGAAAATGCATCTTTAACTGGCAGTTGACATCTGCGATCATGACGATTAATATAGCCTACAGGAGATGCCGGAAATGGACAATGGTTAAAATATTTGGCATGTAGGTGTCTGTGGTCCTGGAAATACCTTAATATTGGTCTCCGTGGTCACAATAACGTGTGTATAATGGCAGAATGGGAACCTGTTCCGTACGATCCCACCTTGATCGGCTTAAGCGAAACCTCCACCGCGTTTACCTGAGCTGAGACGCACGCGCCGGTGTGTAACGGCCGCACGCCTTGCCTTTTACCTACCGCAGCTTCTTTGGTAGACTTTGCCCCCGTTTATTTCATTTTTCATTATTATCTGTTATCGCTTCATTGTAACGATGGCTTGTCGCGCTGATAATTCCAATGACCTTATAATTTTCTTACTTGAGCCCGCCTTCTCTCTATTCGCCGGTGCAGTTGCGTATACATTGATTAACAGCTCTTTGAGCCAATGGCGTTCTCGCAGCGCTGCCGTTTCGCTCAGTAAAGGCGGGACTTAAAGTCCTGTCAAGGAAATGTGGCTCAGCCAACGAATCATCACGACAGTTTCCGCCCGGTAGTTGCTGCAAAGCAGCTCTGCTGGACCATGAGGCATGATGGAGGAGGAGAAGGAGGGCTTTTGTTAGATATCTGTCTGTCTGCTCACTCTGCTGGTGTGATGGGCGAAATTAAAATGATGTGATGTATATGGTATTTGTTATGAGACATGATTTTTACTTGTGCATTGGAAATTACTACAATGGAGACGAGGATGTTGTTTATAATCAAAATACATGAAACACTGCTAATTTACCTTATGTACTGTTTCTTTGGAAACTGTCTGTATCCTTTCTAATGTGTGTTTCTGGTTGTATTGTGTACTACTAGTCCATATTACTTCATAGAAAAACTCTGTCCTCATAATCTTTCAAATAAATGTAAATATCAGCCCTGCGACTAATCAATTTATCTTTTGACTGACGTCACAAATCCCTATTATTTTTCAATTCTCCTTAAACGATTGTGGATACCATTTTATGTTGACATGCTTTACCTAAACAAATACATTTTCCACTTAACAATTTATGGTTTATTTAAACTGATCACACTATTTGCAATTTTATACATTATGTTCTATCATGTCCAAGAATGGTCAGTGGAAATCACAAGTGGTAATAGAAGCCAACAGACCTTTCTTGATTCAATTTCATTTGGTATATCTAATTCACCGTGGATAGGATATCATGTTGGATAGCAAAAAAGCATTTTGCAACTGTCAGCAAAGGGAGGCAATCTGCTATCAGTGTAGCAGATGGCTTTATCTATTGTTATCCAAAATATTGACAGTCCATAAACTTCTATCATAACTTCCATAAAGTGTATTTAGTTCAACTTTCACACAGTTGGATTAGTCCTTGTAAGATAAAAACCTTTGAGGGTCCTCACAAATGTGGCATATACACTTTGAAAGACGCACATTTGCTTGTTTTACAGTTAAACAATGAATAATAAAGCAAAATTGGACCCATCAGCAATACATAGGTCAATCTATTTGCCATAGCACTTGTTTAAAGGAATCGTTAACCCGAAACATTTACTCACTGCCACGTTGTTCCAAACCTTTATGACTGACTTTCTTCTGTGGAACATAAAAAGATGTTTAAAAAAATTTCATGTTTTTCATACAATGAAAGCTTATTGTGAAAAGTGCAAATATGAGTTGTGTGAACACTGAACATTCAGTTTCATCTCATTTTTAGTAGCACTGAGAAAGAAAGTCCTACAGGTTTGAAACTGTAAATGATGACAAGTGTAATTTTTTGGTAAACTAGTCCTTTAATTCACCAGATTTAGATGACATTCTCTCTCATGCACAATAACACCTCTCATTTGGTGCAAACGCAATGTGAGGAAAACACTGAGGCAATTCTTCTCACAATATTGACAGAAGCATTTCCATTTCTTTGAAGCTTTATATGCATCATGGAATTCGTTTGCCAGAGTTAACCACGTTCATTTCACTTCTTAATTTTACTCATTCAGCACAAGAGCATGAAGAAAACAATACTAACGAGTGTAATTGCAATAAATAAAAAGATAAAACACAAACAGTATTATGAAGCCTTCCAGTTATTCCATCTCCTCTCCTGAAGCTCAGTCAGTCTTCCAACTCAAGGCCAAAGTGACTGTACAAGTCTCGTGTGGTCACTCCACGCAGGCCAGCTGAGAGACACAGAGAGGCGGTTGTCTTTGTCAGTGGTCACATGGGGGAGAATGATGTGGCACAGACCCCCTCTGGCCCTCAGACCATCTGAAGTCACCGAGAGGCCAGAGCAGACAAGAAACTCATCTTGCTGGGAGTCTGAAAGGGTCCATTATATCACAGAATACAGTGGTAATACTGGAGGAGGCCATTATCATAATCTTGACACTAGAGAGAAATGCCAAGCGTATGGAGGCTGTAACCCACTTATATGAGTGGGATGGGAGAAGTGTGTAGGCCACAAGTGTTTATGAACAGTACATCATGGTATGAAATGTTTTTATGTTGATATCGGACACCGTTATATACTATTAAACAGACAATTGATCCACCAACTCTTACCTAATGTGCCCAGTAAAGTTTGTCCGATGTCTTTGATGTCATTGTATTCGTGCAGCAGGTCTATGTGCTGATCCAGCTCTTGTACAACAAATCCTCTGTAAATACAAGGACAGAGTAACACAAGCTCAATTTAATCTGACAATAAATAACAATGATAAAACACTTTAATGAACAACTTAAACGGACCATATTATGCATTTTAGATTTAAAGCAATTTTTTATTTAAAAGAATTTGTTTTTGTTCAGCCAAAAGAATTTTTTACACCGATACTGTATTACTTAAGAACGCTCAAAATAAAGCACAAGTCACATTTTAAAGAGTTAGTTTACTTGTCATAATTTCTGCCATGAGTACTCAGAGTATTTGGGATGGTAATGGAAATAACAATGTTAATATGTTTGTACTGGGTGGAGTAGTTCTGCTTAGCTGCTGCTGCTGATCAAGTACGGCACTTGCTACAGCCAACACACACACGACACGCTGCTGTGAGCAAGACATGCTGCTGCTGTACAAAAGCGTGCGAGAATTACCAGTAGCAGATCTATACAGGTGGAGCTGGGGTAGGTGGAGGGTTTCTGAGAGTGCGCTGAAAACAGCTACAGCAAATGCTGAACAAGTATTTAAAGGTTGAGCAGCTCATTGGCTACAGATACAGTGGGAACCAATCAGCTGTGCCATGGAGAATGATTGAGTTAAGGTCAGCCATCTAAAGTTTTATTATGACAGAACTTATTAATCACCCTAATGTCGTTCCAAACCCATAAGACTTCGTTCATCTTCAAAACACAATTGAAGACATTGAAAAAAAAAACATTGATAGTCCATGCAACTACTGCTTTGATGCTTCAAAAATGTTCATAAAGAAATCGTAAAAAAATTCATATGATTAAATGGTTTATATGATGATCAGACTGAATTTAGGCTTTTATTCAAATATAAACATAGATCAGCTTATATAAAACAGAAGCTCAAACACGCTGTGTAACACGAGAACGAACCTCATTGGTTCTCAATCTCTTCTGTTTAACATTACTGATGCGTTGATCAACGTTTATTTGTGAATAAAAGCCTAAATTCAATCTGTTCCTCATTTAAAGCGATCATGTCTCTTCAGAAAATTTTGATTCTGATTTTATGATCTCTTCTTTAACTTTTAAAAGTGGTTGTGTAGACTGTCATGGAGGGACAGAAAATATCTTAATTTGTGTAAACGAAGATAAACGAAACGTCTTACGGGTTTGGAAAGAATTTTTGAGTGAGCTTTCCTTAAGTTATTTTAATCCTGAAAAAGCCTGACCTATGAAATAAAAGTCAGAAAAATCTACATTTTTTAAAATGGAACAGTTTTGATCATGTTGATAGATTAAAGGCCTTATTTATGTATAAAATATGATGCAGTAGACGTTATAGTGTTATTGATGCTGCTTTCATTATTTTATTTTGGAGCTTTTGGAATTCAATTTCATTACATGGAAACGTGTCACCAGGATATTCTTCAAAACGTAATTTGTGTTCCACAGAAAAAAAGAAACATGAGGATGAATAAATAATGGAAAAATTTTATGGGTGAATTATTCATTTTTAAAAATATGCATATGATTTTTTAAAAACATCTTTAATGGAAGCCAATTAATGTCTCACGTTGTGTTTTTGTGACCTCCCAACAACCTTAAAATGAAAAAAAAATTCTAAACCTAATATTCTATACAGTATCTTCAGTATGAACAAACAACAGCATCTCTTGTATCTCTTTTTCCCACATTCAATACCTACTCTTTTTCCAACAAGGCGATCTCTGAATCCAGCCGATCAAGTGTTTTCTTGAGCTCTTCAGGGCACAGGGGAGATTTCACCATACTAGACTTCTGGACCTATGACAGACCAAACACAACTCACCACCACATATCTATAAAAAACGTAATTCATATGTTATCAGTTATCAAACTCCCATGAATATTGCTTTTTACCTCTAGGCATCATGTCACAGACTACTACTAGTCCTCTTAATATTAAAACTGATTCAATAGACTTTACGTACAGGAGATTTAAAGCCTGAATTGACGCTCCTAACGTTACATCTGGGATCTGCAGGTCTGCATGGAATAAACAAACGTTGCTAAACATGATAAAACAGACTTTCTTAAGATTTTAATTCTTAAATCTTTACAGAGTGGATATATTTATTTACCTTCTTCTTACAGCCGCGCCCCCTTGTCTTGGCGTGAAGTTGTCGTGCGCAACATCTACAATGGATTTGCTTTTCATTTCTAGTTCCGCGGTCGCATTCATTTCTTCAAAATCCACGTTAAGTGTTCTAGCGGGTGGATTGTAATATATTAATATGCAAACAGCTGATTTATACGAGTTCTGACCGAGTTCTGAACGAAACGCTCTTTAGCTGTAAACAGTCGTGTGCTGTTTCTAGAATAAACTCGCGCCTTGGAAGCGTCACCATACGCAATCGCTCTGATTGGTCCGCTCTGGTATGAGCGTTTGGATTGGTCCATTGATGCACTTCCGGTGCACAACTTGCTGACAGATGTTGTTTCTGTAAACAGATTTCGAAAAATTTGTACAATTATTTTAAGTTGTATTTATGCTAAATTGTATTTATGCTAATTGCTTATAAAGAGTTTTCACAAAATTATTCAAAACACTGATACAACGGTTCTGACTGTTTTGGGCAAATCACATACATAAAGTAAAATATGTCAATTGTACTATATTGTTTTCCACTGACTTATATAAAGATATATAAATGTATTTATATAAAAATCAACAGCATTATTTTTATTGCGATATGGCGGGTTTTTTTGTAAGATGTAAAAGGAATATTTATTAGATTGTTATATTATGTAACTTTATATGTCTTTTGAATGTATAAATTGTATATATAATTACACTGGGAATGTTGGGAGTTTGTAAAATAACTATGGGTTTTGTTATTTTGCTAATCATAAACACTGCAGAGTCAAGATACATGAGCATAGGATACATAAACCAGTTCCATAATTTGTCGGAAGATGGCGGCCTTTCACAATTTATGCAAACGATTGACGATGGAACACTAGGTCCTGATTAGTATTTAAAATATTTAATTTGGAAAGGAATTATTAGTTTATCAACGTTTTAGAACTTAAAGCACAACCCGTGTTTAAAAAAGAACATATGCCTAAGAAAAACACTGCTTAAACGAGACAAAATGTGTTGTATTGTAGTCTCGTGAGTAAAAGTAATGGTAGGCTAAAGAGTTAGTCGCCTGAAATTGTTGAACATTTTCTCATTGTGCACCACACATTTATTTTAAAATGCTTCACTTACATTTACACCTATTATTTAACCCAAAGACAATTGATAATGAAATGTGTAGTAATATTTATAGAATATAGCTAAATCTCAACCCAAGTTACAGAATGAAAACCGAAACTGAAGAAATATTTAAGTATACAGAAGTAAAAGTGGGCTCCATTGAACAGTGACCTCCACGACACCACTGACACCAATGCCTCTCCGAATCACTGCACACAATTAAAGAGTCCCTTTATTTAATGAACAAACTGTATAATGTGGAAGGATAATAATATCTTAGTAAAACTGCAGGGAATACAGGAGCTAAACTTCACACAAAGAACTAGAATGGATAAAATCACATAAGACACTAGGTGTTGCTATGTGGTTGCTAAGGTGTTCTGAGGGTTTTCAGTTTTACCCGAGTGACTTCTTCAATACACGAGAGATATGAGTTATTACATGGTTCTTCGAGAAGACTTCAGTTTCAGAGGAAAGAACCAGGAGCTGGAAATTGACTTGTGCTCCAGATTTCCCCTGACATTTAGATGTAGTTATTGGGGAAGCTGTTAAACTTGATCACCTGAGCTGGTGTTTCAGAGTCTCTGCTGCACAGGGACAAACAGCTGAAAAGAAGTGTGTGAAAGAAAGTAGTACGTCAAACACTTGATCTGACGCTTGTGCTTGTCTGAAGGAATGTGTTATGACATCCATGAGGCCCTGTAAGATTTACAATTATCATTCACGACATATACTTGGAGAAGAAAGTCTTTGTTATATATATATGTGTGTGTGTGTGTGTGTGTGTGTGTGTGTGTGTGTGTGTGTGTGTGTGTGTGTGTATATAAAATGTCAAACACATACATATGGACTTGTTTTTGCAAGAATATGCTCATTGAGCTGCATTAGTGAAGTGTTTTAAACAACTGAAACAACTACAAAATATGGAGTGTTTTAAAAAAAAAATCCCAACTCTGCAATAAGTTATGATGTAACATGTGTGATGTATGGTTTCTGATGTAATCATATGCAACTAAGCAAGCGCTTACCTTTCCTTTGTGCTGCAGATTTATCTTGCTCAGGGCTGAGTTTGAGACCAACCACGTTCACTGGACACATAATATCTGCTCAAAATCCGCTCTCTGACGCTGAATATCTTATGGCAATTTCAGAAGCCATCTGCCTATGGTTGAATGGGTAGTGTCAAAGGAAGAAGGGTTTAAATACATGAATGAAAGGAAAATGACAAATTAGTCCATTTGTACAGCACTCGTCTTGAGCCATGTTTGTTTATTCTCAGTGTCTCCATACAAAGAGCAGGAGGATGTGAGTGGATAGGAGGAAAAATCCTCATTTCCTCCAGATTTAAACTAACAAGCCTGCGGTAGGCTCTCTAGATCTCACACCAAACAAACTGTATTTGCATGATTGTGTCTGTTTATGTCTGCAGAATTGTAAAAATCTGCTGATAAAACCAGCTTAGACCAGCAGGAATGGTGGTTTTATGCTGGTTACTGTTGGTTTGGTGCTTGTCTAAAGGCCTGTACACAACCTTTAACAACCTGGCCATAAGGTTGCTAACTACTTGTGTGGTGGAGGAGGCTGTTACAGCATTGTAGAGGGGGGACCACTGCAACCACAGAAGCAGTATGTGTCCAAATTTCAATCTTAACCGTTCTATTTCATCAGAAACGATCTTAAAACAGGGCAATCCATGTTCTTTAAGTGTAAAATACCGAAGTTGTCACAGCACGGTTGCCAACTCTCACGCATCTGGCGTGAAACTCCCCCTTTCAGCATCAATCTCACGCTCTCACGCACACGAAAGAAATGTCACACCAAAATCCTCCGAAATGTCATACATCTCTATCCGTTAATTTTCTGTTGATGACAGGAGAGGAGTTTTAGACCTACTATACTGTATGAACTTTGTTGGAAATTTCAAATGGATCCAACCCGTTAAACGTGCCGTTTTATCCACATAGGTAACATTACCGGTCCCTGATTTCCCTATTAAACGTATCCTGGTAAATTCAGCATCATTTTAGGGATTTTAACATCTTTTTTTCTCTTCTTTATCACAACTCAGCTGCTTCTCCTCATTTGACTTGCTGGTATGTTTACATTTGCGAAGCTGTCAACATGGCCGCCACGTCCCAGAATGCAACGCGGCGCCCAAGCCCTATCCTTACCGTTAGGAAAAGTGTTGAACATCTTCTCCTCAGGTAACTATTTTAACTTTATGCTAAAAGTTATAAGCCACAATGAAGCCAAAATGACTTTAGTTATCGTGATTCAGTGAAACGGGCCAGTCATCATCATGGTAAACAAATCAAGACTGGCTGGTTAAAATTCTGTCATTATTTATTATGGGCTCTATGCACGGCAGTATTTCCGGTGAAGGTGTAAGGATGCTCGATAACTTCCGCCGATCGTAGAGTCCAATGCAATACCGAGAATTTATATTGAATTTTATACTCCATGGTTATACTAAAGAAACGTTAGTCACAAAAACAGATAAAACAGACACCACTCGTTGTAAAGCTTCTTTTTAAAATTATATTAAATAAACATAGCTATACATAAAATTACATCTAAACGTGTGTACGTTTTGTTTTAATGACGGGAGGACATATTTTGAAGACTCTGCCATAGTCCCGTTTTCCTCGGTTTTCCTCCGCTTTAATCTACACAACCGGAAATGGACGAGCATCCTTGCGTCAAATGCGGAACTTATGCTTGCAGCCCATAGACCTATTGTGTTTTTAAGTGAAGTAAATGATGACAGAATTTTCATTTTTTTCTTTTTAAATAAGTCTTTCAAATTAATCGAAAGTCCATCGGACTCATTTCTATTGCTGTCCCCAAACAAAACACTTGTGTTGCTTCATAAATCCACTGGAGTTACTGGATAGGCTATCTTTTAATGATGTCTGTCTTACCTTTTGGGATTGAAAGTGGTAAATGTGTGGACTGTCAATGGAGGGACAGAAATCTCTCAGATTTCATTAAAGATCTTCATTTGTGTTTCCAAGATGAATGAATGTCTTACAGGTTTGGAACGGCATGAGGGTGAGTAGCCTAAATTATGAATAATTAAATCTTTTAGTGAACTTCAACATTTTGAAGAACGAATCATTTTCATTTATGCATAAATTAAGTATATAATACTATGCACGTATTCTTGCTTAAAATAAATTAATTTAAATGAAAATAAATCACCGCACAGACATTTTTAAGTGATGACACAAAGACTACCCTTACGAAAATGAACCATGGTATTATTACAGTAAAAGTGTAGTATACCATTTGTATAACCACAGTTTTACCACAAATACCATGGTTCAACTAATGTAGCAAAACCATGGTTATTTTCATAAGGCAAGTTGAATCACAGAATTGAAATGTAAATTTAACACACTGACATGATATAGATGTGAACACATGCTCCAAAGACTGCAGTGTATTTGCATTTCATCATGTTTGTAATGCATATAGCCTCCCACCTCAGAGAAGCATCTACAGCTCTTCCCTGTGTCACCGTTAAGCACCCGACACACACTCATATACGGTGGCAGAGAGAATGGAGAGAGGCCAAGAGATCATTGACAGAGAGAATGAGGTTCATCCCAGTGAGGGATAATTCAAGGCATGTCATAAAACATCAATACTGCTCCAGAGGTCTGGCCAGCACAGCTGCATGCTGGGAAACATTACAGCCTTAAATAATTCAGCATAGGAAGAAAATCCTTAATTTTTATAAAACTTTCACATCTGACTACACACATACATACTGTCATAATATAAGTCACCTATATGTTTTTAATTATAACACTGTGTCTTTATAAATTTCCCCAAAATGTTGTGCTTATTAATATTAATTATATCATATAATTTGATATATTATTCGTTGTAGTGTGTTAGTATTGAAACTCTTCACTGTGACACAGCAAAGTTCACATCCTCCATGCCTCTCCATTATCATTGAATTGTGAACGTGATTGGAGTGCCAGATTTACTTGATTAGTCATGATTTATAAATGCTCACATCTGTCTACATCCTACAAGACGGATAATGCTGCAGTGACTTTGGCACTGAAAAGTCTTTGAGAGCTCCAGCCAACTCTGAAGCACAGTGAACCCAGAAGACGGTGGATTGATGTTATCAGATTCT